GGCTCGCGGCGGGCGAACTAGCTCCGATCACGGCAGTGCGGCCCCGCGCCGGCCGCGGCCCCCGCGCAGCTCCGCGGCCCCGGCGCCCGCCCGCCCCGCCCGCGCCCTGGTCCCAGCCCGGGGGCCGCCCGGGGCGCCGCTCCGCATGCTCCGCGGATCCGCTCGCCGGTCGTCGCTCCCTCGCTGGCTGGCTTCTCGCTTAGGTCTCCCTCCCGTCTAGCTCGCTCGCTTTTTTAATAATATTATTCTAAGCGGGCATGAGGCGCGGCGGCCCGCGCCCTGATTGGTCTGGTTATCTGACCCGGGGCCTGCCCGCGCCAGACAATAGTCGGAGTCAAATTATTCGCCATGGAGACGCTGTCAGTCACCGGTAACCCGAGCCCCGGCGGGCCGGGCGGCCCCCCCACGGCTGGCTCCGCTGACAGATCGCCCGCCCGGCTCCGCGCAAAGCAAAGCGCAGGGCGGCTGGAGACGGGAGCCGGAGGCGCTCCAAGAGCCCGGGAGGCGGAGAGGGCCGGGCAGGGGCCCGCGGCTGCGGCGGTGATTGACGGAGCGGACGCCCAAAGAGCAAGGGAGGAGACGGGCCCAGGAGGGAGGGGGGCGGAGTGGAGACGCGCAGAGGAGAAAAGGGGAGGATTGGGGGGAGGGGGGAGGAGGGAAAGAGGGGGAGAAGGAAAGGCGGAGGGCTGCTTAGGGGGGTGCCGGGAGGAAGGGAAGAGAGGGGTGGTGGAGGAAGCCTGGAAGAGGGGGGGAGAAACTTTGGGGAGCCTTTAGCAGGCTCCGCGCGATGCTCCCGCCCCACTCCGGGTCACCACGCCCCTCTTGGGGCCACTGTCTGCGGGGGCAGATTCTCCCCGGAGCTGGCCAGTGGGCTGGGAGCGTTTGGACGTTCGCGGACGCCCCTCCAGGGTTTGGCTTTTCCTGCTGACCGCGCCCTGCCCCCATCCTCGGAACTCTGGACCGGAGCGATCCTCGAGGGAGAGAGGGAGGGAGGGAGCAGGGGACGATTTGGCAGTGGCCGCGGGCGGAAGCCTGAGAATCCACTTCTTGGAGGATCCCGCCTCTCCTCCCTCTCCTAACCCCGCGGCAGGAGCCGCCTTGGCCCCGCGCTCCCTGTCCTTGCCGGGCGGGGACTCAGACTTAACCCCACGGGCCCCACGGATCGAGCGGCCCGAGAAGCGCCAGCACTTCCGTGTGGCTCCTACGGGAAGTGGACTCCGGTCGGCAGCGCCCGCAGTCTGCCCACGGGGAGGCGAGGGGCCTGAAGACCAGGACGGTCGGTCGGTCGGTCGGTCGTGGCACTTTCCCCGTGGCTAGTTCCGGAGGACCGAGCGGAGGCAAGACCCTGCCCCTACCACCCACCCCACCCCACCCCACCCCACCCCCCTCGGGTCAACTTGGGATGGGCTCTCACCACTTCCCGGCGTGGGAGCCGCGGGGCGCTGAGCTCAGGCGTTAGGGGCTTTAAAAGGGGGGGGGTCCTGTTTTTTGCTTCTTTGTCAGGACGGTGTGGAAACACGTGTTCCTGGTTCTCTGAGAGAAGGGCTGCTGATACTATCTGCGTTTAGGAAAGCCAGGGGCTGGGTTCCTTCCCTGGCTAGTCCTTTCCCCTTCGTTCCCCCTCTTGGCTATGAGCTGTTGCAGGCCTGAGCCCATCTGGCTCCTGGGGTCAGGACCCAAGCCAACACAAAGCCCAGGCTCGGTCCTCGGGGTAAGCCTGGAACCTGTGTGTAGGCATCATTTCTTCACTCCCACCCCTGTAAGCTTTTTTGGAAGTGTGTGCTGGGAGCACTGGAATGGCAATTCAGAGGCCTAGGTTCAAGTTATGGCGTTGCTTGTTGCCTGTGAGCAACTCTCCTATTCCTCTAAGTGTCTCTTCCCCCCCCCCCCCCTGCAAGAGTTACCCCCCAGCTCTAGTGTTCTGGAAGTCTTGGAGTGGGGGGGGGGTGAGTGGGGGGAGGGGGTGTTTGCTTGCATGAGAGAATGGAACCCTGGGACTGTCCCTAAGACTTTTGTTCTGGAGGCTTGCCCTGGCGTGTTGAGACCACGGGCTATCAAAGTATGTTCTGAGCCAGGGCCAGGGCCAGCTCCTTATAGAAATCCAGGTGGCATCTTCGTAGTCTGTGTCCATGGACTGGGAGGAGCTCTGCTATATCCAGACCACTCTCTCCAGAGTCCAGACTTGGCTTTGGGGAAGAATTTCCCCCCTGGCTACCCTGAGTTTCAGGGCCCGCCTTGCTGACCCTCAAGAAGGGGCAACCTATGTTTTTTGAGACCTCTGCTTTAGCCACATGGTTAATGACTATTAGGTTGGTACCAGCTCTGCCATGGCCACTTTACATCCTGGCCATGTCAGGCCAGGGCTGTGGGAAGCGCCGGGCTGGTGCAGGTGAATGGGACTGGGCATCGCTTCCTGGTGTGAAACTTGGGGCCAGTTTGTGATCAGCTCCGCCTCCTGCTCTCCCAGGATTAGATGAGGCCTGAGTGACCTCACCAGTCCCTTGCTGGTTCTAGGTTGGGGGTGAGTCTAAGAATGCTAACTTTAGCAAAGAGGGTAACCTTAGCCATAGCATCCATTGTGAATTTGCCCCTCCTTGGACCCCTGGAGTTTCAAGAGTAAACTTCCACCAGAACTGGGTACTGCCCGTGTTCAGCGAAGGCTCGTTTTCTGGAGCTTCAGACCCATCGTCTCTCCCAGCGCTGTCCTCTTTGCGACCCTTGGGCGCTAAGCCCAAGAATCAGCCCAAGAACATGCCACCTCGGATAATATAGCGTGTGCCCTATGAGGAGCCATTACAGAGCGAGCACAGAGAACCTATAACCCCATTTGCCCTATGTATGGGTGTGTGTCCATATGCCCTAGTTGTCCCCTCCCCTCATATTAGCAGGAAACCAACCGGTTCTAGCAGGTCTGGGCTAGAACATCTTGCCAGCAGCAGCAGCAGCTGAGTGCCTGCTCACCTAAAAAGGTTACAAGCTCAGCTAGTGTTTCTTGGCCGGGCAGCCCCCTCCCTGACAGTCTCGGTCTTGCCCGCAGGTCAGAGGACTTGGGAGGTGACTGGTGAGGATTTCACAGACACCAGCCTGACCCTGAGGCAGTCTGGGCCCCCCGTTCCAGTGCTCAGAGCAGCTGCCCGGGAGGGAGAGGGTGCCAGGCGCCCTGGACTCACCCCACGCCAATCCACAGGACCCCAGACTCCTTCCTCCCGGATGGCGTACTTGTACTTGAGAGGCCTGCATTACTCTTTCATCAGGCACAAACAGCAGCTCCATGGCCGGGAAGGAAGGGGCGTTTGTAGACCTGTGGAACCCTGGGCTTCATCGAATTGGCTCCTCTCACCTCCTACATGGGCTGGAAGGCCCTGGGACCGCACTTTCCAGAAGGCGGCAGCAGGCGTGGATGGATGGGTGTGCTCCAGTGAGCTCACACTGAGAGAATGCCTCTGCCCCATGACTCTGGGTCCGGGACATTCTGGGGCCCTTGTGTCTGGAACTGGGCCGGAAGCTCCCCAAGGCAAGGCTGAAGGGCCCCCATTGCCCTGCTCAGGGCGGGCACAATGCCCACTCGAGGGACTTTTGGAGGAAAGGGGTGGAAGCAGCCGCACCAGTCTCCCAAGGGCTTCCTTGACTTTGGGTTGGGGCTAGTTAGGAAAAAGGGGGGAAATCGAAGTAGAAAGAGCTCCTTGGCGGCTATTTCCAACGCCAGCAGAGAAGGGGGAGGGGCTCGGTGCCAAACCAGAAGACCAGAAGCTTTTTAAATAAAATCTTTATTTTTCCAGCCCGTAAAAGCTGCAGAAATCCCCTAGGCAGATTCTGGCCGCCACGGCACTGCGTGTCCCAGGCCCTCCCCGCAGACCCGCACTCTGGCCTCAAAGCTCTGCAGCGTCCGGAGGGCAGGGGTGGGCCAGCTGCCGTCCCAGAGCCGTCTCTTCCGGGTGGGACCTCACGCTTGGGCCTGGGAGGCGCGATTCGTTGAAAGCGGGTTCGCAGCTCAGGGCGGGTGTGCGCCCAGGCTCCGGGCTCCTGTCCCCACTGGTTTCGCCGCGGGGAGGACGCAGCTGGGTCCTTGCAAATACCGCGCCCATGGTTCTGTGTTGCCCAACGTTTGGAGCAGATCAGGGCGCGGGAATCCCACCCACAGGAATCCAGGCAGTGGCCCCGCGGCACCCCGAGCCCCGCGGGCTAGGTTGCGGGGCGCTGGGCGCTGGGCTCTGGTTGGCCGGGATGGCCCGCGCCGCTGCACGTGGTCACACACCCTCAAGGGCCAGGCCAACAGGGTCCCCGGTGGCCCCCGCTGTCCCCTCTGTCTTTCGGGCTCTTTGCTTCGCGGCCCTGCGCGGTGGCCAGGAGAGTCCCTGCGGGAAAACGGTTTGGGGGCCGCTGGCTCACGGGAGCCCTCGCTCAAACGAAAAGAGCGAGAACCAGGGCCCAGGGCCCCTTCGGAGGCGGCGCCGGCGCTGAGTGTGGCTTGCTGCGGGTACCCAGGCCCAAGGCACCGCCCGCCTTCCTGCGAGGCTCGGCCCGGCTGGCTCGCAGCCTTCGGTCCGGTCCGGCCCGCGATCGCGGCTCAGACCCAGTCCCTGCCACCCCGCGCCGCGCTCCCTTCGGGGCGCACAGGGGATGCCTGGCCCCTTTGCCTGCGGTGGGATGGGGGCCGCGGCGTGGTGGGTCGACTCCCGGCTTTGGGTTAGAGAAGCCAAATTCTGTCTACGTGAGTTCACAGGGGCACCCCCAGCCACCCCTGGTGCCGTCTTCTAGAAAGTCCGCAGCCTGTCCTCCCCACCCCAAACAGGTCCTGGGACGGTAGAGAGCCCGCGCGCGTCCCGACCTGCCTCCCGCCAGCTCTGCTCCCGCTCGCCCCCACGCGGCAGGTCGTAGAGTCCAGGTGAGTGGGTCGGGTCCAGTTCCTTGCCCACCTGAGAGGGCACAGGGAGGGCGCCGGGAGGCGCGCTGGTTCCCTGCTCACCCCCCACTCCCCGCACTGACAGGCGTGTGCGCTGGCAGAGGAGGCACCAGAGCTAAGGCGAGGCCATGCAACGCACTCCCTCTGAGACAGAAGCCGGGAGGGCATCAGGTTGCCAGGGTCTGATCATGCCATCCTTGGGAGACAGACATGGGTTTTTCACGCTCGCATGTTCTCTCCGGAGATTCGGAGATTCTGGTTCTGCCTTGCACACACTGGGAGCCCCTGCAATGTCTGAATGGACGCCTGAACGACGAATGGGATTTTCCGACAGTAACAGGCCTCCAGGCCCTCTTCCTCCTCAAGCATCCTGTTCTTCCCTCCCAGTCTCACCTTCTTGCCCTCCTCTTCTGTGGAGGGGAAGTCTCAGAGACCCGTGATGGCTTCCTCCAGCCTGGAGTCTCCCCAGGGCAACACAGAAGCCACAGAGGGAATGAGCCACTCTTAGAAACTCCAGGTCTGACTGCCTAGACCAGCCCACTACCTAGCGGGTTCCCTTGGGTTGCAGGAAAGAACGTTTTCTAAATAGTTATTCTAATTTTGCGGGGCTGCTGCTTTTAGTTGCATTTCCTTCGTTACTTTACAAAAATCCTCTGTAGGCAGCCTGTAGATCAGGTTTCCTATAAGAAGTGACTTTTTTCATCTTCTTCTTCTTTCCATTACCTGTGAGAAATTCTATCTGGGAGTAGGGATTCCTGGCTTGGCACTCCTCTCTCCTACAGTATCTATTTTTATTACCATTAATTACAATGCATCAGTCCCACTCATCAGCGACACCCCCTCCCCGAGGCTGGTGACTGCTCTTGGCGCTCTGCATCTGGGTGACGCCTGGTCAAGAGGGCACTCCCACCCAGCCATCCATCGGAAGGCAGCTACCGAGTTCTGCATTTTTAAAGGGAGACCTGGAAAAAGCCAGGATTGCTCTGGATTTGGAAATCCAATACTTTATTATGTTGTTGTCTCTGCAAATTAAAGCGAAAATCCAGGGGCTGTGACTTATAGAAGAATGTGTGCTAATTAATTTATGCACAGTGCCGCGAGACCACTTTAATCAAGTATGTGGAAACAAGATCCAGCGCTGCTGGGGAGGGCACATGGCCCAGGGAATCGGGCGCGTGAGGCGGCTGCAGAGGGATCGGGTCAATTTTAGCCACAAATAAATGTCCTCTGGTAGCTCGTGGCATGCTGGTCTGTGATGACAGGCGTGCGCTTGGCCCTCTGGCAATTACCATCGCTGTTTTCACCATTTTACTATCATTCATTGTCAGGAACTGCTCACCTATGGGGAAGGTTGGGTGGGTGGAACAGAGAGGACGTGGGCTTTGGTATCAAATGGGCCTGGGTCCTTGGTTCAGATCCACCCCCTTAGTAGGTCACTCAATCTTGGAGTCTTATTTTGCCCATTTGTAAACTGAAGACAACAATCCAGTGCTTGGCACAAAATAAACATGCAGCCATTGCTTATTGAATTGACTGCGTTTGCATTGGGGATTAGAGATAAAGTTTATGAAACATCTGGTTCACTGTAGGTGCCCAATAATTAAAGCTGTTGCTGTCATCAGGATGCGATGGGATAGTGTGTTTCCGTAATTGCCTATAATCACTGTTGTTTCAGAAAGCACCTGACTTAAGTGTCAAAAGGCGGATTTAGTTTCCAGGTGACAAATATTATCAGGCTTCTATTGTATGCTCAGACCTGGGCGAAGCATTTTGGGAAAAGCGTTCAGTTATGCGAACAGAGGTTCGGGAGCAGTGAAAAGACGGGAACTTGCACACACAACGCTGCCGTGGTCTCTCAGCTCACCGTCCACAGCAGCCTCGGACATAGTGTGGGCATTGGAGCCAGGCTATCTAAGTTAAATCCTGCCTCTGTCACTTAGTAACAGTGTGGCCAAGGGCAAGCCACTTAATCTTATGGAGTCAGTTTCCCAGTCTAGTGAGAATAAAAAGCTGGTGTAACAAGCACCCTGCTCCCAGGATTTTGGAATGAGAAAATGAGTTAATGTATGTGAGAAGGCTGGGTCCCTGTTTGGAGACGAGCAGAACTGCCATCATGTTTTGCCTTATTTTATGGTGTTTTAAGAGATACATTTTATAGCCTCAGCAAGATTTTAATGTAGGGTCCTTGTTCAAAGGGTAGATGGAGGGACACACACAAAGAATCAAATAGGAATGTGCATGTACACACAAATAATTTGTTTATATAAGCAAATGCCTGTCCCCATACATGTACATGTGGACACACACAAATGCATATATACCTACATCCATAGGAAATTATGGATATACCATTCATACTCACACGAGGAAATTATTCCTGAAGTCATGGGGACCATTTCACCCTCAATGTACCGTATATATCTACGTCACCCCCAAACCAGACCTCTATGAGAGTTTAGTCACAATTTGGTGGTTTTCGGGGAGAAGGAAACTCAGGTGGTAAGAGGGATAGAAGCTGAAAGTAGGAAATGTAAATACATTCAGTTACTGAGTTTCCCCTTCCGAATAGCAAGCATCCTTCACTGGAAAATTTTGTCCGCTAAACGCGTTATAAAGTTTGTGGCCGCTTGGCACATGGCTGGGGATGGGGGCATTCTTAAGGAATCTATAGTTTCCACTATCTTTTGTCTTCTAGCTCATTTTTTAATCTGAGAAGTTTCTAGAAGGTCGGATGTCAACTCCTCCCCTCCCCCAATCAATATGGACAATGCTCACCAGCAATTCAATTCAATCTCATTCTAGTCTGGCCAATGAAGCAAAGATACTTATTTTCCTAAAGATCAGTCTAAGGAGGAATGAAAGTGCTTCTTCTCTAATCCAGCTCTGTGCTAGGCTCTGTCGGGGGGAAGAGAAGAAGACACTGTTTTGCCCTCTAGAGGTTTATGGACTAGTTGGGCAATGGAAGCAACCCGTGTGAAGCCGAAGAAAACAAGTCCACACACTGCTGCCTTTCACCATGACGGGCAGGGAAGTCAAGAGGAAGGAAGTATTGAGTGCCTGGGTGTGCAAGGAAGCCTTCTTGGAAAAGGTGGTCTTGATCTGGGCTTTGGACAACAGGGAGGATTAGGACAAAGGGAGAGGCACGAGTGGGGCAACCTGAAGTCTGCTGAGTGCAGAGCTGAGTGCTGCCTTCCGGACCTACCTTCTCTAGGCCTGAGAAGGCCTCCTAGGGTTTGTGGCCATCACGTATTTCCCTCTAGCTCTCCCAAGTGAGAGTGAGATTCCTGGGAAAAGTCAAACTATGTAGAGCCAACAGAATCCACCTGGGCACGTTTATTCTGGCCCTATCAGGCGACAGCCCTGGATGGTAAATGCGTCAGGTTGCAGAGAAAGGACGGGTGCTCACAGTGTAGTCTTCATGCCATGCAAGATGGGATGAAGCTCACATGGAGAGCAGTGGTTCTTGACATTGGGGGTCTGAGACCCCCTGGGAAACGTGAGGAAAGTCCTCTCTAAAAAAAAAAAAAAAATGCTCCTGAGCATAAAAGGTGGCATTGAATCGCTGGGTTCATAGATCCTGCCCCCAGGCCCTGAGCTCATCCCCGGATCTGTGGTGTTCACAGGCGCAGGCTGGAAGGGCTGCTGGGCAATCACGTGCTGGAGGCCCTGTGCTTCCTGGGAGGCTCTAGCCCCCATTTGGGATCAAGAACAGGGCTTTCGCCAAAATCGGTTTGGCTCAGTGGGTGGAGCGTCGTCCTGCGGACTGAAGGGTCCCAGGTTCGATTCTGGTCAAGGGCATGTGCCTTGATTGCGGGCACATCCCCAGTAGGGAGTGTACAAGAGGCAGCTGATTGATGTTTCTCTCTCATCGATGTTTCTAACTCTCTATCCCTCTCCCTTCCTTTCTGTAAAAAAATCAATAAAATATATTTTAAAAAAAGAACAGGCTTTCATCTTCCTTCACAGCCACTCACCTGACAAGCACAAGCGTGGATGGAATAACGTTTGCACTCACCTACCCCAGCCTATAGCACCGGGGGTCTCCCTTCTCGTTCAAGGCAGGTACCACTTTTACCCATTAGTCAATACAGTCCATTTCCTTAGATATCAAATATTTTTCCTTTCCTATCGTTTTTCAAAATTGACTGGAATAAATAATTTCTTCTTTGCAGTCCTTGCCTGTCCTTGAACATGAACATGACCCAGCACCAAGCATGGTACCTTTACTAATAGGAGTTCAAAGTAAGACTTTTATTAATTTATAACTAATAGCTATGTTTTATTGAATGCCTGCAATGTGCAGATCCTGAGCAAAGGGTTTTAGAAGCAGGATTTCATTGACTGCTGTGACTACGAAGAGGATACTATGATTGGGCCCATTTTACAGGTGGCAAACTGGGTGCCTGTGGCACACAGAGGTTACATTAGTGAAATGGCAGAGAAGGGAGTCGAACCAAGGTCTGCTTGCAGAGTCTGGGCCTATTGCCACTACCTTATATTGCTGAGCAATATAACTGTTCGGTTTATGTTGGATACACTGACCATGATTTGGCAGGAGCAGAAGAAAAAAAAAAAGGAATCCACAGAACTGCCCAGATGCCAGGCAAGTTAATCAATGCCAGGACAACGGAGCACTGCTGCCAGGCCAGGGCCTCTCCCCCGCCTCCAGGCAGGACTCAGGGGCAACCTGAGCTGGATGCAAGGGCAAGCCAGCGCAATGTCACCTTACCGGTGTTTTATTTCAGCAATGGCCCGGGCAGGAGGGAGACCGCCTCATTGAAAGAATTGGCTCATTCTGGAATGGAGATTCATTTCCGACGGCCCCCTCCCACGTCTGCCCGGCTGGCTGGTGTTAGAGGGAGGATATTTTCATAAGGATGAACTGTTCTTGAACGTTTCCTGCCACTGCACAGGTCTCCCTTCAGCAGTCACAGGGCCTGTTATCTAACACCTCCCTCCGCTTCCAAACATATTCACATGGAAATAAAGCCCCTCTATGAAACGTTTTTTGAATTTTCAGGAACGAGCTGGTCTGAACTGGTGGTAGGAACAGGCATAGTGTATTATCTTCACTCCCTGCCATGGTGGGAGGGCTGAGGAGGATTTGGTTCAGTTCAGGTCACATTTTCTTAAGTGTCTGGAAGAGTGATGGGCACCAAGCTTGGCGTAGGAGGATGTTAGGCTTTTGCCTAAGATCCCACCACGAAGTAGTCACTTTGTGGAAATGCTTAGTTAGCATTCCAGCGGATAGCATTCAAAGAGCTTGTGAACATGCATGGGGAAAACATTGCATCTCTATTCGCACTAACCTCCAAGTGAAAGTTGGCAGTTCTTTTAAGAATGTAGGCATAAACCATCACAGTATTGCCACCAGCAGAAACCACATATCGATATATTGTCACATCCCATGAGCCGTGATGCAGACATCTTGAAATACTTACGCTCATCATTACTTTGAAATTATAGTATTTATTAGACCCTACTGCTAGATCTTGCGATGTAAAATGTTAATAAAGAAGCACATATAGCCCTCACCAGTTTGGCTCAGTGGATAGAGCATTGGCCTGCGAACTGAAAGGTCCCAGGTTCGATTCTGGCCAAGGGCACATGCCCGGGTTGCAGGCTCAGTCCCCCCATAGGGGGTATGCAGGAGGCAGCTGATCAATGATTCTCTCTCATCATTGATGTTTCTACCTCTCTTCCCTCTTCCTTCCTCTCTAAAATCAATAAAAATATTTTTTTTAAAAAGAGAAGCACACATATTACTATATCGTTTTAAAATTATTTTTATAACTTTAACATAATAGAGTGTGTGTGTTTTGTTTTGCTATCATGAATATTTTATTTTTAAAAAATACATGTTATTGATTTTTTTACAGAGAAGAAGAGAGAGGGATAGCGAGCTAGAAACATCGATGAGAGAGAATCATCGACCAGCTGCCTCTTGCACGGCCCCTACTGGGGATGTGCCCGCAACCAAGGTACATGCCCTTGACCGGAATCGAACCTGGGACCCTTCAGTCCGCAGGCTGACGCTCTATTCACTGAGCCAAATCGGTTTCAGCATGAATGTTTTACTTTAAGCATCAAAATATTATTCTGAGAAGGATGCACTTGATGCCAAAGGTACAAACGTTGGTTAAGGACCCCTGTGCAATTGATGTTCACTTGGAGGCTCTTCTCTCAGGACCGGGTTGCCGCTGTTCTGAAGAAGGGTTCCTTCCTCACCTTCCACCCGCCCAAAGTGGCTCTAGCCAGACTTCAGGGAGAAAGAGGAGTGATCTGGGGAACCCTTAAGAGGTTTTGATGTGTTTGGGCCTCAATTTTCCCATCTATAAAATGGGATGGCCCAGCCCGTCAATAGGAGGTGCTCTTTCCCCATTCCTGACTGGTCTGGAGGTTGGCAGAGGGGGTCAGGCTTTAGGTGCCCGGAGTTGACATGGCTGGCCGGGCGCCGAGCCAGGCTTGGTGGCTTTACAAAGTCAGCTGGGCCCTCTGCGCGTCCTGCGTGCCAGGATACAAACAGCTTTTTTTTTTTTTTTTTTTTCATTTGGGATCCAAGATGCTGAGTCAATGACCAGCTCAGAAGAGTAGATTTTGTAAAACTGTCCAAGAGGCCCCTCCCTACTCCCTGCCCAGCATGCTCAGGGCCTCATGCCAAGTCTGATTCTGAGGGGGGCCTCCAGGAAGCACAGTAGGGGGGTGCGGTATGAAGCAAGTTCTAGGAGGAAAGTTGGGGTTTCAGAGTTTCCTAGGGAGAGCCCAAACCAGATACTTGTTCTTGGGGGCCTCTTCCATTTACTTTGTCCAGAGCCCGTTATTCCTAAAGTCTCTGTGGATCTTGTTCCAGTCTATGGGGGGAAGGGAAGACAGTTCCTGTGATGTTGACCTACAGTTTTTTCTTTTTTGGGGGGGATTAATGGGGGTTGGCAGGGAGTCTGGCTTATCGGATACAGCACATCTTGCAGAGGAGCTTCAGCTGGGTCACAGGCAGGCCCAGAGGGGGACCTGCAGTGAGCAGGGTGCTGAGTGGAGGGAGAGGGGAGGGCATTCTAAGAATGGGACCCACCTGAGAGCAGGAGCAGCAGGGATTTTAGTGGTGGTAGGAGCACTCTGATGAGCGTAACCTGGAGGGAAGTAAAAGGCAAATACTGGAGCAGCATCAGCCATGGGAGGTAGGATATAAATTACGGAGGACTTCCAATACAATTTAAAAAAAATATTTTTATTGATTTCTGAGAGGAAGGGAGAAGAAGAGATAGAAATATTAGTGATGAGAGGGAATCATCGATTGGCTGCCTTCTGTGGTCAGCCTGAGCCTGCAACCCTGGCATGTGCCCTTGACTGGAATTAAACCCAGGACTTTTCAGTCTGCAGGCTGACGCTCTATCCACTGAGCTAAACCGGCTAGGGCATTTTGTGTGTGTGTGTGTGTGTGTGTGTGTGTGTGTGTGTGTGTGTTTCAACTGATTTCAGAGAGGAAAGGAGAGGGAGAGAGAGAGAGAAACATCAATGATGAGAGAGAATTATTAATCGGCTGCCTCCTGCACCCCCTACTAGGGATCAAGCCTGCAACCCTAGCATATGCCCTGACCAGGGAATCGAACCATGACTGCCTGATTCATAGGTCGATGCTCAACCACTAAGCCACATTGGCCAGGCAGTAAAGTTGTTTTGAACAGTAGAGTTGACTCTGGCGGTGTTACAAGCTTGCAGGGAGGATAAGGATTCAAGATTTCTGAGTCCAGGCCCTAACTTATTCCTGAATTACTGCTCTCCAGTATTTCTAAGCGTAGCAACCATCCATCCAACTACTCACTTATTACCCATCCAACCACCCATTAATTACCCATCCACGGTGCCTTCCTTCTCACACCTCTCCATGGAAGCTCCCTCACTGGGCCAGAGATGGTATTCTTTGCTGTGTTCCTGCTTCCCAGCATCGTTCTTGGAACAGAGTTGGCCTCAATAAATATTTTTGAACAAATTCTCTCACTGAGATTCACCTCGCCATTCACACTTGGTACAGGATGCTTCTCCTGGGATATTGAGTCCGTTTGTCCCTGCTCATTGTTGGAGCCACCTCTGGTCATTCCGAGGGTCCAGCGTGTCCCCTCACTAGCTCAGCAGAGCCTCCGAGTCTCTTTCTCCTGTGCTTTAGCCAAGCACCTGGCCCCAGGTCTGTAGCCTTGGGCACTATGTTCTGTTTCCTTGGCAGAGAGATGGCAGGCTTGGGCTAGGAAACCTCTGAGATTCTTTACACTCCGAGGGGCCCTGACTCTATAACCTTCACTCGTTCCACCGCAGGGCAAGTGGAACCAGGTTAAAAACTGCTTGAATCCAACCCGAGGGAAGTTCCCCTGGAGTCAGTGGTTTCAAGTGCATTTCTCAGCAAGAGAGCTCCCCTCGCTGAGCAGCTAACCATTCCTCAGCCCCCGGGAAGCCATTCTCTCCTGATAGTCCCATTATTAGCGCATTATCCCCGCCTCCTAATTGGGAGGACCCAGGCGTGCCCAGAAAGGGACTTAATTGCTCCTAGATTGCGTTACTTTCCTGATTAAGTCACTTAATAAATGACCACATCAAGTAGCCCAAAGCAAGGCATTTCCTAAGAGGACCTAAATCACTTTTAATTTTCGGGGCTGTGTATTTTCCTTTAGCAGCCTGGAGCTGCTGTGCCCGGCCTGCCATCTGAGAAACATTTCTTCAAGGTGTCAAAGGGACGTGTCATGCATTTGGAATGAGGGCTAAATTAAAAAGCCATACAACACATAGTTATATAAATAGTGAGATATTCCAGGCTGTTTCCAGTATAAACTACCCATTTGGCAGCCTTCCCTGGAGCAGAAACAACATGTAGTGGGACACTTGCCTGACATTTACACCCTCCCAAGCACAGACATTCACAAGAACACACACACACACACGTACATATCACACACATGATGTCGGGAAGGGAAGTGGAGGGTCCCCTGAGTTGGCCGTATCAATCAGCCACAAGGATTTGGTTACTGCAGGGAGGTGGGAAGATGGGTGACTGGTGACTGGGCACCTCTCGTGCTCATGCCTGTTTTGAGGATGGCCCTGGGTCGCTTGTCTCCTTGCCTCTTGAGAGAGACTTGAGCTCTGTACTGAGCTCATAGAACATGCTATTTCTTAGCTCAGAGGTGAGAGGAAACTTCGCGTGATTTTTATCCAATTACCTTAATTGTAACCCGAGGAAACCAGTGCCCAGAGAGGTCTGGGGACTTGCCCAAAGACACAGAGCCCGAGAATGTCAGAGCCAGTACAAGGACCCAGGTTTCTTGTTTCTTTGTCCCACACAGCCCTACCCCCTGAGGCTTAGAGGGTATAAGTGAGCCAAGCGGCTGACCTTGTCACTTCTGCTTCTGCTCTGCCTGGAAGCCGGGCGGATGGACATACCCCTGCCCCTACCCCCAGCTGCTGTTGTCCTGCCCCAGCCCCAGCCCCAGCCGCACAGCGCGACAAGGTGGATGCCAGTTCCCCCCAAAAACGGCCCCCCATGAACCTGGCCTCCCAGAATTCACACCTCGTGTAGTCTCTCCAGCCCTGGATCTTGGCAGGCCCTCTGGATCACTAGCGTACAGTGGAAGTAACGCTGTTTGACTTGCGAGGCAGGTCAGAGAAAGGCTCTGGAAACACGCGATCTGAAATATTTGCTGCGGCGTAAGCAGTCCACTACTGTGAGACCACCGTGGAGGAGGCAGCCCGAGCTGGCCGAGCAGTGAGAAGGTGTGGCCGCCATCCCCCAGCTGCTCCACCATCTGGGCCTGGGCTCCAGACACAGGCTCCGGGTGCTTCAGGGCACCCAGGCCAATCCAGGCTTCTGCTGCCTCCAGCCCCTGCTGCCACCCCAATGCCAGGGCACGGGCGCCCCCGGGGGAGCGCTGCCCCGGGAGCCTGGTGGCCCACAGAAACCATGAGGACCGGGAATCAATGTCTTTCACCTTCATGAGTGAAGCCACTGCATGTTTGTTATGT